AATTGATGCTATATGTGCAGTCACTCTTGATTCCAGCACTTAAATCGTGGCAACAATTTGTTTTGGAAGGAGTTTAAACTTCTCCATAAACATTGGCATGCAAGAAATCAGCAGAGGACCAATAGATGTTTTTAATATAATTTGAAGCAGTCCATTAGAATGTTTTTAAGTGATCAGAGTGGAACAAAATAGAAACTGGAGACTTCATATGGTTTTTAATGTCAGGTTTTGATGTAAACCATATTATATTTTGTAATCTGTGTACTCCATTTTATTCACATTAAGGTTATTGGCAAAACTCCCATTAACCTCAGTGAGAGGAAGAGTAGATCAAAATGTCCACATTGAACATTAGTAACACTGGATATTTTGTGTGTATGTTGGAAAGGAAATAGGGGCATGTGAACTGGCCAAGGTATTTAACTCTGAAAAGTGCATGTTGCACATGTGCAATAATAAAAATAATTCATAGGGATTTTTACTAGAGATGGGAAATGCTGATTTGCCAGATTCAGAACAAATCAAAAATTGTGGTTTCTAGATTTGAAAAAAAAAATTGGTTCTGGCGAAGTATGTATTCTAGGCTGCTATTTATTTTTATGTTATTCTTTTTTAGTCTGAGAAGGAGGTCCAGAATTACTTACAAAGGCTATTTATTGTTTACATATTATATATTTTCAGAAGGTAGGATTGTCCTGTTTTTAAGACATCAGTATATGAATAGAGTTGTTATTTGATGGCTAATTTAGATCCCCCAGTCCAGCAAAGCATTTAAACAAGTGCTTAATCTTAAACATGTCAGGAGTCCTGTTGAAGTCGAGCAAGTGCGTAAGTGTTTTTCTGAGTCAGGGATTAACGGCTGCTTTTTCATAATAATTTGCAATGTAACCCTATATGTGTTAACATATTGAGGGGATACTTGTCCATGTTGATTCAAATCCCTGGTGTATTCAAATCTGTACATAGCCAGCCTGACAAGATTCAGTTGAGATATGGTTAAAAGGGAAACAATTATTATTTTAGTTTATAAGATCGTCCCTCATTCACTGAGATCTAGGCAACAATAAACCTACTGGTAAAAATCCTATTAAAAACTAATCAATATAAATTCAGACAAATAAAATTTAAAGACAACAATTTGGTGTCTGGTGCCCAAAGCTTTGTGCAATAAGCTTTTAAAAGTTTTTAGCCAAGAGTGCAAGACTATTTTTTCTGCCCACTGAGGACTCAAATCCATAAGAGGCATTATGGGAGCCGATTTCTTAAGTGTGAACCATACACCTTTAACTAGAGGCCAGGCAAATTAGTGGACATCTTCAGGTTCCAGCCTGTTCCCCATCCCAGCCTTGTGATGCCTATTCACAGAGGCAGACAGCCTGCCAGATCCCACAAATCTGTACATGCAGCAGGAGCACTAGACCCACAAGGCAGCATACTGCCAGCCAGCAAGGTGACTGCCACCAGTGGCAGGCAAATGTGAATTATTCCTGAGTAAAGGGGGGTGAAACTTTTCAGATGAGTTTTCTATTCACCCCCAAAAATGCAGTTTCGAGTCAACTGAAATTATTTGCAAATTTGGTGAATAGTTTCATATGGGGAAAAAAACTTTAGAAAAAATTCAAATGTTTCATTACATTTTGAAAATGAAATATTTCATTTTTTTGTTTCAAGATTATAATTTGTTTTGAAATTTGCCTGAATTTAATAAAAGTTTTTAAAAACCTGAAAATGAAATTAAATGTTTTGTTTCAGGTCAAACTAATCATTTCAGTCAATCCAAACCAATTTTTTTTGTTTATTTTTTATTTCACCGAGAGAACTGAACATGTCTCATTTTGGGTTGACTCCTCTAAAATTAAAAAAAAAATGTAGATGTTGTTGGGTTTTTTTCATTGGCCCAGTCAACTAAAAAATCAATTATACTTAGAACTGTAATGCAGGATTCATCCTTTAAGGCCTGATTCTCCACAAATGCCTTTCACTTTGTATAGTAACTGATACCTGTACAAAGGAGGGTTAAATTCTGCCATTGGTGTGAAAGAATGGAGAATTCAAATTCTGGTACCATTTTACTCCCACTTTATACTCCTTGGGCTCACTGAGGCCAGTTTTACGCCAGTTGACATTGAAGTCAATGGAGTTACTTCCGGTTTACACAAGCATGAGAGGAAAATTGGGCCTATTGCATACTGGTGTAAAGACTATACAAGGCAGTAGAAAATCAGGATTCTAGTGCTCACAAAATATGTTGCTTTGACATCTCTGGAAGCTGAAGTTCTTCATTTATCCACAGAAAGATACAGAATAACCTGTATGCCTCATTCATGGTCTAATCCAAAACCCATTGAAGTCAGTGGGAGTATTCTATTGATTTCCATGGATTTTGGATTAAGACCACTATTTTAAAGGTGAAAGGAGGGAAGTTCAGATTCCAAGATCACTCATTCTTAAGCCTCTGTGTCAAACCCATTTAAAATGTATTCTTTATTCCATTGCCAATCCTCTGAGTCATCATGTCCTCTCCCCTCACCCCCAGCTTGCATGATTATTTTTATTAAGATGAAGAAATCAATGTTTATTGTGTACAGACCTCTCAGGCTATCATATTCAGATTTGCCATTACTTGGAGGACACACAAAATAATATAGAAGAGACAAGTTAGTACTGCTTTCTTTCTCCCATGTGCTATTAATTTACCTGGCATGGATAATTTCAGAATAACATGCAAGCAAAAAGGGTGTTGTTGGTTTTTTTTAAAGTTGACATGTAATAAATTATTTAACACCTCGCCCTATTGCATCCTACAGCATCTATCAGTTTCATCAATTTATGTGGTGTTTGCATAAATTTCATTAGTACAAGACAAGGAAAGTTTTAAAAAAAACACAAACACAATTTTCAGGTTTTCAGTTCATTACGAAAGCTTTCTCTCTGGGCAAATGACTAATACACTGTCAAACCTTTATATTCCTGAGAAGCATGCTAGCCAAAAAGAGAGGTGCAATCAATCAAAGCCTTGATTAAATGAGCTAAATACACCTACTCAGGGAAAATGCCATTGTATGACTTAGACTTGTCCTAGGGCAGCACTAACATGCTTCTAGGTCACTTATGTATTATGGAGCCATACTAATGACTCTCTAGTTAAGGGTGTAAGACAGTTTCCATTATAAGCCTGAGCTGAAAATTTTGGAGTAATTACCGGTAAGTTTGAAACCTCTGTTCAATAGAAAGAGTTTCAGACTGTAAGCTGAACTGTAATAGTTCCCATTTGAAGTTTGGACTGTGTTTGGGGTTCAATGCATCAAACAAGTACACACATGAGAAAAGTTAGTTGCCTTTGTTTAGTTGCACAAGGAAAGGAAGGGTGATCTTGTGGTTAAGACACTGTACTAGCACCCAGGAGATCTGGGTTTAGTTCCTTACTGTGCCACAGGCTCACTGTGTGACCTTGGACAATTCACTGAGTTTCTGTGTGCCTTAGTTTCCCAGCTGTAAAATAGGAACCAGTTTTGTCTATTTAGATTGTCAAGGCAGTGACTCTCTCTTGCTATGTATTCAGACACCGTCTAGAACAATGAGCGCCTGATCTCCGTTGGAGCCTCTAGACCCTACTGTAATACATATCATAATTACTAAGTCGTCTAGACAGGGCACAAAACAATGGCACTGGAGCTAGGTAGCTAACTAACACTAAATTTCAACACTTACCTATCAGATACTCACAATGAACTGTGGCAAGCTATTGGGGGGAAAGTATTGTGAAGAAATTTACACCATTTCAAATAACAAATGTAAGAATATTCCAATCTGTTTATGGACAAGTCACAAAACAGAAAAAGAGACCAAACTCAATGAATAAATTATTCATTATGAAATTTTCATTTAACTCTGTTAGAACTGAATGTACATTAAAACCAATTTTTTTTATCTGAAATGTTCAGATAGACTTTTTTTAATTAGAATTTTTTCATGGAAACTCTGTACTTTGGACCACAACAGATAATGCTGACTGCAACAAAAAAGTACTGTTTTCAGGATATATTTGGCCATGATCAGAAACTCCAGAAACTTTATTAAAAATCCTGTTTTTGTCAGAATTCTACCCCAATTTCAAGACTGAAGAGGTTCAGATAAGTATCCAAATTTTTGGATGCTTTTCTGAACCAATCCCCAAAACTCTGAAACTATAGATATCTGTCAAAATTCTGCCTCTAAGCCATTACATGCTAAGACCTTTGAAAGTTGTAAGAGCAGAAAATTTAGTAACTACAGTCCCTTAAAGCACATTAAACTAAGTGTATTCAAATGAGGTGTTCACATGGACTTCACATAGAAAATATGTGCTGTATATTAATTATAGTTATTTTGGTATGCTAAAAATATCTGGTGAGATGCTCCCATACACTGTATAGTGTGGAGGAGAGCAAAACCATTTCACTGGGAGTAGCATGTGAACAGGGAGCATGAATGTTAATATACCTGTAGTTCATAACATATTAGAAATTCTATTGTGAATGTGCTTAGTTGTATGTGCCTTTAAATATGTTGCATGAGAGTCATGGCATAGTGACTCAAAGCCAAGTTAGAAAAAGAGTACAACCCTAATTATCCTTACAGGACCAAACTTGATTGAGAATTTGGGGTATTGTTCTGGGAGAAGCTGGCACTGACCATTTCCCCCCCATTATGAACAAACCTATTCAATTTATAGTGTTATGTACCACAACCTATTTTCATTAAAAAATGATTTTAATACGCCCTCTTTATAGAGAGATTTTTTTAAGTGCAGGCATATTTTTTAAAATTAAAGAAACAACATTAAAGTAAATTATTCTAGTTTACATAACATATTGCTTCCATATAGATCTTGGTATGAACTAAGGATCATGTTTTTTGCACTCTGTAGCCTTGTAATTCTCAATGGGACATATTCATGTCATTTACACTGATATAACTGACTTCAGAATCTAACTGAATAAAACGTCTGTTGCATTCAGGAATAATAAGGAAGGAGCCGGCGTGCAATTAGATTAACAATCTTCCCAAGAAAGGTAAGTAATAATTATATATATTTCCAATAACTGTCGCTATGGCCTCCTTCTTTTACCGTAACTCATATTGAGTAGGTACTTTACTACACAAGTAGTCCCAATCAGAGAGCAACATCTTAGAGTGCTCTACAATTCACACCCCCGTAGACTGCACTGTGGCGCCATCCATGTAGTCAAGTCCATTGAAAGCAGTGTGACTGGTCATGAAGTAAGGTATTATTCAGCATGAGTAAGGTGGAAATCAGGACTACAGTGAATTGAGTGCCAGTTTTATATTGCAAAAGTAATCAGATCCTTTAGGGGTTTTATCTTTATTGTGAATATGTCAGATCTTTGATTCTCTCTGTGATCACTGTGTTTTTAACACTCTGAAACTGATCCTGCATTTTCTGCAGTCAAAATTCTCATTGACATCAGTGGGAGTTTTCCAAGTAAGGCCTTGTGTACACACACACAATTTCTTCCACTTTAACTATACCAATATTGTTAAAGTAGTATAAACCTCCTAGTGTGGACCCGTTTATATCTGTATAAAGGTGCCTTATACTGGTATAACTATTCTCATATGTCAGAGGGGTAGCCGTGTTAGTCTGGATCTGTAAAAGCAGCAAAGAGTCCTGTGGCACCTTATAGACTAACAGATGTATTGGAGCATGAGCTTTTGTGAATGAATACCCACTTCGATGCATCCAACGAGGTGGGTATTCACCCACGGAAGCTCATGCTCCAGTACATCTGTTAGTCTATAAGGTGCCACAGGACTCTTTGCTGCTATTCTCATATGGGAAGGGGAATAAGCTATGTTGGCATAGAGTGCCTTTATACTGGTATAATTGTGTCCACACTAAGGATTGTTCCACTATAACTATTTTGGTTTAAAAAAACAAATCACATCCTTCACCAAAATAGTTATACCAGTACAAAAACTGTGTGCAGAAGCAAATCCTGCAAACCCTTACTCCCGGGACAAATCCTTAGTCATGAGGGTAGCCAGTGTGACGACTTGTGTGATAAAGGTTTACAGATTTTGGGCACTATTTCTGAGCCAAAAGCCAAGTTAGAAAAAGACAGCAGTCCAGCCACATAATGATTAAAAATAAAAAAGGTTAGAAGAGATTAACAATTTTAAATGGTCAAGTTACATGACATAAATTGGGCTAATTTCATTCTTCCTAGCGGCTTGTCTGCATGAACAATTCGTTTGTGGCAAGCAGGGGTATGAATCTACTGCACATTAGCCTGTCATGGCCTACCTGTCCGTGTGGATCCTGCTAACACAGATTAAGAGTTTTTAATGGGCTTTGATCTGATAAAATGACTCAGATCTCATAATTAAATTAAATCAAAGGGTACATTGAAATACAGATCTGATACAGTGTGAACTCAGAATAATTAAGTAAAGACCTGATTATTTTTTAATGATTCTGTGAAAAGTTGTTCTGTGAAAAGGTGGTGTTCATCTGTTAATTAAATCAGGAGATCTGAATCAACATCTCCCTGCTTATCTATTGCTCGACCTCACTCTCTTTTCCAATAAACCATAAATATTTCCAGGAGAACTGGAGGTGTTCTCACTACTTTTTACTTTTTTTTAGTTAGTACCATTACAGAGAGCACCTCCAACTTTGTTTTTTAATTTTTTGAGTCTTAAAAAAGACTAGAATAAACCAGAAGATGATGCATCAAAACTAGGAATGGTCTGAAACTGTGCTCTGGGAAGCTGGCTGGTTGTTTAGGCTCCAATTCAGCAAAGCACTTAAGCACATGCTTAAAGTTAAGTATATGCTTCTACCCTTTGCTAAATTTGGATCCTTAGTTTTGGCTCTACTTATTTCCAGCTGTTAAATTTCATTAAAAGACAGATAAAGTATAGCCCATACTTTCTTAATTATACTTTTCAGTGTAAACAATTTCTACAATTGCCACAGCAATGAGATGTGACTGCAGTTGGGGAGAGGTGACCATCAGTTGGTCAATGGAAGGGAGGCCACCAAAAGACAATTTAAATTAAGACGTGCCCCACACTATGAAAAGAATTTGAGAACCCTTGCTCTCACTTATTGGCTATAATTCACATAATTTAGCAGTTCTTTTAAAAAATTGAAAATATTAAATATACCTTTCTAGCTGCAGAATTAGGAGTAATTTATGGAGAAATGTTAAACTATGTCTATTGTGCAGTAATGTTATTAAAGCCATTTGAGATCCTCAGATGAAAAGCTCTACATGGGCACAATCCTGCATTTCCCACTAACATCTTGATTTTTCATGGGATGTAACTCCATGCTCATGTACAGCAGCTTGTAGGATGGTGGTCTATGGCAAAACTCCAGCTGAAGTCTTCTGAGTGCAATGTATAATTATGAATAATAAAAGAATATGATAAATGAGATAAATATACATTCTCATAAAATCAATCTTTTTACATTGTACACAATCCTGTTTTTAGAATAGTCTTTATAACATTTCCTCAAACTGCCCAAATTAGTTAAAACAGAACCACATTCCTTTCTTAAAACAGTATTAATTTCCAGTTTTTAATTCACCATGAGTCTGTATCACTGTGTACAATTTAGCACATTTTCCAATTTTTTTTGCATTAGTAACATTATATAAAATAATTAATTCTGACAAATCCTATTTGCCGTTTGTCACAGGACCAGGAGCTGAATGACAGGAAAGAGAAGTTCATTGGCACATCAGGTTTGAACATCAAAATCTCCATCTCACAGTGGTGGTTTATTATAGGAGGGTTTGGTTAATCCAAATGGACATCAGTTTGGTGCTTGTCTGTAGCTGCTTTCCTACCAAGCAGTTTTCCAAAAAAATAAATGCAAAAAAATAAAACAAAAAATACAAAGTACCCGGTACAGCTCCTGTGTTTCCCCAGGGCTCCTTGCCTTGGTGTCTCATCAGCCCAGCCCACTTGTCTGTCTCTCTGTGGTAGCCTTGTCCACATTAAGATTTTTTTTTAAATTCCCCACCATTGCTAACAGCATTTTAGCTGAAGTGTTCTTAGAAACAGTATAAATATTTTTCAAAAAGTTCCCTACTGTAGGGAAGGATCCCTTTCCTGTAAGGCTTGAGTGTGACACACCTGGAAACTATGTTTCAGCAAAGTCTCTTCCTTGAGACTCCACTGGACTGGGACATGGCATAGTTTCAGAGAATGGCAAGAGACCTTTATATCCCAAGAAAGCCTTAGGCAGCTAGATAATCCCACTGATTTAAATGGGACTACCTTGTAGAATCATAGAATCATAGACTTTAAGGTCAGAAGGGACCATTATGATCATCTAGTCTGATCTCACCCACCCACTTCTGTATCAAACCTGTGTCTGAGCCATTGAAGTTCTCAAATCATGGTTTAAAGACTTCAAGGTGCAGAGAATCTTCCAGCAAGTGACCCAGGCCCCACGCTGCAGAGGAAGGCGAAAAACCCTCAGGGCTTCTGCCAATCTGCCCTGGAGGAAAATTCCTTCCCAACCCCAAATATGGCGATCAGCTAAACCCTGAGCATGTGGGCAAAACTCACCAGCCAGACACTCAGGAAAGAATTCTCTGTAGTAACTCAGATTCCACTCCATCTAACATCCCGTCACAAGCCATTGGGCATATTTACCGCTAGTAGGTGAGGCAATTTGGAATTAATGGAATATAATAATGATACCTAGCTCTTTTTATTTAGTGCTTTTCATCAGTAGATGTCAAAGCACTTTACAAAGGAAGTCAGTATTTTTATTCCCGCTTTACAGAAGGGGCAACTGGAGGTGAAGTGACTTGCCAAAGGTCCCCCCAGCAAGCCAGTGGTTGAGCCACAAATAGAACACAGGTCTCCTGAGTCCCAGTCCACTGTTCCAACAGAATATGTAGTGGAGCCTTCATAGAATGAAGCCATTTTTTTCTCCAGAAAACTTAGCTTTCAGCAAACATGTATTGTAACTGGGATTGCAATTTGCACTGCATTGAAACCATTTTGGCACTCTCATTAACTAGAATATCTTTAACTATGTCTGAGCTCACTGTGGCTACGTCTAGACTTGGAGGTGGCAATGTGGTTCCCAGCTCTAGTAGACATACTCATGCAGGCTCTCATCAAGCTAGCGTGCTAGAAATAGTAGTGTAGCCACGGTAGCACAGGAAGCAGTGAGGAGCAGCACAGGCTTGCTGCCCTGAAAACCTGCCTGGACCCCATGGGTATGTGGTGGCTGAGCTACCGTTCACCGGTGCCCATGCTACCCTGGCTATCCTACTATTTTTAACCTGCTAGCTTGATTAAGCGCTAGCATGGATCTGTCTACACAAGCTGGGAAGCACACCCCCAGCTCCAAGTGTCGAGGTTAGCCTATAAGTAAATTCCAGGACTGGCCTTAAACTTTTGCCATGCTTGCAAAATAATTTGCCACCCAAACCCCCTGCTTCTCCTTCCCAACTAACTATTACTAATTTCAGCCCTGCCCCAGCCTCCTACTGGGGTATTGGGCTCAACTACTTATGCTGAAGCTTGTGCATGTTTATTCAAATATCATCTCCCGCAAAACTTTTCAAAATGTTGATAAGGTGAAGGTCTGAGAGTTGCTAGGTCCCCATCCTTGGAGGATTCTGTGTGGTTCTGGTGAGTTTTAGGCCTTGTAGCAGTTTGCAGATATTAACTATTTACTTGTCACAGTCTCTCTGTGGGGTAGGTCAATATTATTCACCTCATTTCATTAATGTGGACAGAGTTTAAGATCAAAATTTTTAAACTTGGATGTATAGAACAGCGTCAGGATGTATAGAACAGCTCTAACATATACTTGGCTGCCGAAAACCCAAGGAGCTGTTTTGGCAACTGAGAAGAGGTGTACAGTTGCACCTCAGCCACACCCTCTACCAACAGTCACACCCCGGAGAGACCTCCTATGCTAAAGTTGTGAAGGGGTGTGTGATGCTGATTATATGATCCCCAGGGAAACCAATGACATTGGGGATAGTACCTTGTGGCCAGATCTACCAGCTTTTCAGCCCCTTTATGCTTTTGAAGTCACACAAGGGGACATTAAAACCAATATTTGGGCCCATAATCTCTGTGTCTCAAGTCCCCTTATCACAGTGGTGATGTGAAGATAAATTAATTGATTGTTGTGAGGTCCTTAGATAGTATCATGATGGGGAACGCATAATAGCTTAGGTAGATAAAAGAGAGAATGATGAGTGAAGGATTAGATACTACACCTCTACCCCGATATAACACGACCCGATATAACATGAATTTGGATATAACATGGTAAAGCAGCGCTCGGGGTGGGGGGGCAGGGCTGTGCACTCCGGTGGATCAAAGCAAGTTCGATATAACGCAGTTTCACCTATAACGTGGTAAGATTTTTTGGCTCCAGAGGACAGCGTTATATCGGAGTAGAGGTGTATATAAAGCATTTTGATTGGTATCAGTTCACTGAGATTTTATCCCATAATGCTTAATCATAGTAGTCACTGAAAAGCCTCTCAGCTATTTTCTGATTACTGTATGAAGAACTACGTCAAACCATTTCACCTTCTATATGAACAATGATACACTTTTAAGTAGTATTGGAGAACCAATTATTAGATGTGACCTGACCTAACTTGTTCTTCTATTGTAACTCAAGATTAAAGCATTTTTTCATCACCACACTTTAAAAAAAAAACTAATCCTCTATCCGGCTGACTCATAACAGCTGTTAAATAACTAGATATTTAGCTAAAGATGAACTGACCTATACGTCTAAACATGTGATATAATAACCAACCCCTTTCTGCATATCATGCTGTTTCTGTCATCATTTGAATTTTTTGTGCTGACTTCAGCTTCTGCATCCACTTGAATGGATTTAATGTAATTGTTAGTAATGATGGGAGCCATTGCATTGGCATTATAGGAGCATGTGGAAGAGTGGAAGGGGAAAGTAGAAAGGCTGACACAATTATTCAAAAGACTGGTCGCTGTTTGCTACGGAGTACTTCAGTTCTGAAGGAGCAGTTCCATATAGAAATAGCTTATATATAACACATGCACATCTAGCTGTTCAGCTGCTATGATTTCACTTGTTTTCTGTATACCCCTTGCCAGTTATCAAAAATATTTGTTTTAATAAGGATTTGCTTCCCCATAGCCCTTCTTTTCTTCCTGCGTTATCCTGCAGTGGAGTCATAATCCTATTTATAATGTCACAGTTGTTTCCATTGCAATACACTGTGATATATTACACACAGGACAATGGGCCCTGGTCCTAGAACTGCTGACTCAATGGGAGATTCATAATAATAGCAATTATTGGTGTTCATGTAATGCTTTTCATCCCTAGAGCTCAGTGTTTTGCAAAGGGGGGTAAGCATTAATATTATCCTCATTTTGCAGAAGGCACAGAAATGAAATGCTTTGCCTAAGGTCACACATGGTGGAAGATAGCCCAAACCTCCTGAGTCCCAGTCCTCACATCACAACTTCTTCTTGATCAAGGTGAAGACAGGCTATGAGCATGAAAGCCCTTATTCAAACAAAACATTATGGTCTCTGATGTCAGTAATCTGTGTCTAAAGATTAAGACTATGCACTCAGGGGGCAAAACAAAGTTTCTTCCCACTCTCTACCCTCCACCCATTTGCTCTTGGTGTGGGTATCCGATTCCCAGCCCCTACACTCAGAGCCACGGAAGGTTCCTATGCAGCCACACATGGGCTTGCTCTCCCTTTCTCCCCTTATTTAAGATCAGGGCAAGATAAAGCCCAAAATTTAGATCAAGCATCCCCAAAGTCTGGGGAGGGAGGAGCTGGCTGTAGTCTTTCAGATCAAAGCCATCTCTAATTGTAATTACTGGTATTTGTTTTCCAATAAAGATTTGCAGCAGATGCATGTAATCTGTATGCTTCGTGATAAAACAAAACAAAACACAGTAACAACAACAACAACAGCTAGGAAACTGCTTACGTCTCTGTTTACCTGTGTAATCTGATCATGCATATGTGCTAATTGTAATGAAGATGTAAAGCATATCGTTTGCACATCAAAGCAAAGAGCTTAAAATCATAGCCAGTGGTGTTCTCTGCTAAGATAGTAGCTTCTTTAAAAGAAGCAGTAAATGTGAATGAGTCGCGTAAAGGGGAAGGGGGGAGGCAGGAGCCTGAGAAGTGGAGCTTGCAATGGAAGGTACATTGGAATTCCAAACTCCACTTACATTTTTAGTAGAATGTGTAATTTCTGATGCATGCTACAGCCCTCTTCTTCTAGATTGCTGGTGTAATACAGGTCTCTGACACAGGAGGAGGGCTGGTAAGGATCTAGACTTTGTTTTATAGCTCAAGCCATATGGCTATTGTTATAGTTGGCGAGATCATTAATAAAAGAAGAGTTATTATTATTTTAAAAAATGACCATCCGTGTGCCAGGTACAATCTAAACTGGATTTTCACAGGGTTACAGTGGGGAGCTTATCTCTTTGCCAATTTTCATCTTTCTTTCCCAGACATGGAGGCCCGAGAGTTATCCAAAAAGATTTGCAAGATTTTTTGTTGTTCTCAGTAATTGCTGAACTACTTTTGATCAAACTTTCCTAAAACCTTCACCCTTGGCTAAAGATCCCATCTGGAAAACGTCAGCTAGAAAGGTAAAAGTTTGAGAAAGTCACAATCAACCCCCCATTGAAAAATGTTATTTTTATAATGGAAATGCTCAGGTACCTTCGCTATAATTATTACTATGTGTTCCAGCTGTTACATGTCCTGTACTTTGAGTGATATGTATATATCTATCTCTATAGCAATAGACATGTAAATCTACTATAAACATGGAATAGGATTTAGGTAGTTCCAGGTTATTAAATTTGATTTGACTGATAAATGCAATTACTGATGCTTTTATATTATATATGAACTGCAGCTTCAATAAGTATCAAAGAAATCATCAGTAAGTAAGATGCTTGCAAATATTGGCAAAGAGGCAATACATATATTTGAATTTAACTGAGGCCCGGGGCATGCTGTGACAATTCTAGTAAGACATGGAACAACTCACTTGCATGCCTTAGGTCCAAAGTGACATCCTTCATGCTGTCTGACCTCACATATACAGTACATGTGAGGTCATGCTGTGCACAAAATGGTGTCTCCCAAGGGGGCTGGACAGAATTGTCCCATGGTAGGCCAGTTGAATAACACACAGCTAGTCAGGCATGCAGGACATACAATGCATGCCTTGCATATACAGACAACATGCCACTGCTAAAATGAGATTATAGCATGAAATTTTAACAATACTGTCAGCATTTTGGAGAGACTGAACTATTTGAATTTTGGAAACTTGTCACAACTTATTTGCAAGCCATCAGTTGTTTTATGCTAAAAGTGTCTTTTATGCAAACCAATAAAGTCTTGTTTGTTGTTTTCAATCCTTTGGACCAGATGCTCAGATGGAGTACTCTTCAGCCGCATTGTGCTGCTCTGGCAGTGCTAAACATTCAGAAACCTGGTGAATCTGGCAAATTAAGGATTCCTTGAAGGAAACGGAGTATGGCCATGGTAGCTCTGTGTTCTGACAATGCCTGGCTATTGGAACAGCCCCTTGGGAAACCTGGGCAGCCAACATAAAGTAAAGCAGTCCTGTAATTGCTCTGCTTTACATTTGGCACTGGCTCCGTTGCTGGACAGCCCTCAAACTGGGGGTGTAAAAATGGCTTAATGCCAAGCTTGTATTCTCCGTTCCTGAGCTGTATCAAGCACAGCTTGGACACAGTTCAGGACGAGGACTTTTCTCAGCAGCTGAGGGGTCTTTATAAAGGATGTTAGACTAATGAAAGTGTGAGTAAGGAGTTGTCCCATATCTCCAAAATGAAACAGTAATTATAACCAAAATGTATTTTAAAAAAATCTATCTGGCAGGGATAGACATAATTGCCAGCTCCAGATGGCTTAGAACTTGATTTTTCGCAGGCAGTATGCTGCTTTGTTTTATACTTCCCAGATTTCTTTGTACTCATTTTAATCTGATAGAATCGAGATAGAATGAGAAGCCAAGGGGAGATGGGGAAACCACTGGAGTTGTGGGAGGGGAGACTGAGCTGATGAGCCAGGATATGTGGGGAGAACTGGCTGGGCAGGGAGACTGGGACTAGGATGAGGAGCCAGGAGATAGAGACACAATTGGGGCAGGGACAGGTTGAAGAGGATTGAGAAAAAGGTAAAGTCTTGGGGGAACTGACAGAAGGGTCCATGACCATTAGAGAACACTCCCTTACAGAGCCTGGAATGGAAACCATAATTCCTGAGTCAAACCATTCCTCAGCTGTCAGCAAAATGTGTCTCGTCCACTTCTAGTACTGGACCACATAGAGGATGACAACCTACTACTGCTATCAGTTACTCTGTTAGTTCAGGTGGCAGAGGTCTTTGCAATGGATCTAGGGATAGCTCAATGGTTTGAGCACTGGTCTGCTAGACCCAAGGTTGTGAGTTCAATCCTTAAGGGGGCCACTTAGGACCAAATCAGTACTTGGTCCTACTAGTGAAGGCAGGGGGCTGGACTCGATGACCTTTCAAGGTCCCTTCCAGTTCTAGGAGATAGGACATCTCCATTAATTTATTTTATATTTTATATCTAAAGATTTCGCTGATGAACCATGTGGTTGTCAATATGATCCCACCTGATGGAAGTTGGGTGTTTAGTTTCCTTTTTTTAAAACCTATGAAATTATAACAAAACAAAACTATATTAAAAAGAACATGGTTAAGGTTCTAAAATCAGGCACGCAGAAGGTAGGAAGTGCCAGAATTAAGGTCACCTGTGCAAGCTTAATTCAGCCCCTTTGTGTGTGTGCATTGATAGTCTTAAATTACATGCCACAGGATGGGTAGTGCTCATGTAATGAGCAGCTATTCAGTGTTTTCTTTTCTCCTCATTGTTCTATCTATTGACCTAGGCCTTATTTACTACACACTATTCAACTCTACTCTGAAGACAAAATTATTAATTTACTCATGAGCTTTTCTACAACACTCATCACTATAGTATCTGAGTGTTTCACAAACATTAATTCATTTTCACAATACCCCTGTGAAATGAGGGGGTATTATTACTCCCCATTTTATAGAGGGGGAACTCCTGCATAGAGAGACTAAGGTCAAAAGTATCCACTAATTTTGAGTGCCTAAGTTTAGACACCAGAGTTCTTCAGTCAGGCACCCTGATTTTTTAGAGTATTTAGCATTAGATAGCATTTTATATGTTAGAGCAGAGTTCCCACAGGCTTCAGTTGCAGTTGTGAGTGCTCAGCAAATCAGACCCCAGGGTCTCCAGTCAGGCACCCAGAAAATGAGGAAGTGAGGCCTAGATCCTCATAGGTACTTAGGTGCCTAAACCCCAGCCGTAGGCACTTCTTCTTAGCGTATATGTAACATGCCTCAGGTGGCACATGACCAGGATTCATCACCCAATTTGGCCCGCTGGTTGATCATTAGTTTCCCTGGCCCGGGCTGATGCAGAGCGTAACATGAACACTGATCCATGTCCCCCTCCTTAGGCACTTAAGTCTCACTTAGGTGCTTAAATCCCAGTTTTGGTTTCACTGCGATCCGCAAAACTCTCACCAAGCCCAGTAGGCACATACGCTCACTTGGCAGGGTAAAAGTTCTCTTGGCACCTAACTTTCAGCCTCTAAGCATGCACACTACTGCCTCCCTCTAGGCAGCCGACCACCTATCTCCTACCTAAGTCCCACAGCAATTCACGAACTGGGAAATACAGGTTTACGGCTGCCTAAATTGCATGTGGGGCCTGATCCAGGAGACATGCTCAGAAGCTGCCTACTGGATTGGGTTCCATTCAAAATCTGGCAGGCAGAAGAAGAGGTGCCTCCCTTATAGCTTTTAGTCCCATGGCTACAGCACTTGCCTGAGATGTGGAAGAGCTGGATACAATTACCCCCTCTTTGCCAGATTTGAGCAGAGGTCTCCCACCTCTCAGAAGAGTGCTTGAACCACTGAGCTATGAGACATTCTGTTGGGGGAGCTCTCTCCACTTCTCCTATTTAAGCTGTTCCACTGTGGATAAAATAAAGAGTGACTAGAGCAGGGAATCTGGACCCCGAGTCTTCCCAGGAACAACACTGCAATCCACAAAGCTGAATTAGGTGCCTTTATGGATCACAGTGTTGCTTCTGTGATTTTCTGGAAACCTAATGTTAGGTGCCATGATGCTCAGTGTTGCAACATCTAAGTCCCTTAGTGGATCTCACCCTTAGTAACCATCTGTGAAAAGTTTTTGGTTTAAGTGACTCACCCCACATTGCATAGCAACTCTGTGGCATAGGCAGGATTAGAATGCAGTTTCCCAGGACAGCATTCAGACCATGAAGACCATCCTCACTCACTACACCCCTTCCAACAGATGCAGCTACAGACAGTCTCCTTCATTGCAGAAATCTGATTTATCCCCAGAGAATGTCCATCCTATGCACTGAATAAGGTTCTGTGGAAAAAATAGTCTGTTGTGTAGATCAGGCCTTAGACATCTCGGAAAGGAAGTGTTTACACAGGTTCATAACTTCCAGTTAAGGAATATGTGTCCCATATCCCAGAATGCACATACAAAGCCTTTGAAAATCACAATTTAAACAAAGAGCTTGTAGTAGGTCAATGAGTTATCTACTGGAATACACATGTATACATTTATAATCCAATGTGGAAAAAATCCATTGTGTGACTATCACTATCCCTAGAAAATAAAGGAATTTTTTCACATTCATAAAAAAAATACACACGACACAGGATGTAGAAAATTTAGTGCAAAATAATTGTTTCACTTCCTAAAACTGCAGCTGCCATTAAAAAGTTGTTAGGCTCTCAGATCCTGCATTATAAATAGATACCTAGAATGATTAGGTTCATGCTAGTCTATAACCAGCTGTTTTGCCCACACAAGCATCTTAAAACTTGACTGGCAAAAAAAGGTTGCATGTCTAAGATGATCCTTTTCGTTGAACAATTGTTCTAAAATAGCAATAATAACCTGTTTGTCTTTACTGATCATGTAATAATCAGCTAGAGAGTTGAACACTTTTGGTGCTTTGCTATATCTTCACACTCCTTAGACAGACGTGAATATGTGACTAGAGAGAGCCTCCAAACAGGTTGCTGTTTCTTAATGTTGAACAAGGATCTGTTTCCATTGGAATTATTTTTTTAAAATATCAGGGAAGCATTTCTGTTGGGCTTGGCTTAAATAAAAGTTTGTTAATACAAAAAGTAAATTATGAGCCAAATTGATCCAACTGTTCTTTTAAGGAAATACTGGAATTTTTCTTTCCCATGCTCTTGGCAATTAGAAGCAAGCAAAAACTTACTATTTTCTTGTACTTTTTTTAATAGATTATTTTATGCTTAATTTCCCACATGGTTAATTGTACAAATTTTTATCAGTGGATATTGATCAGCCACCCAACAATCTAAATAGAGCCACTTGTTCCATTTGGTATAATGTTGCTTTTAAATGACTACCAGGACAGTATTTTTAAATGGGGTATCAGACTGATTTCTTAAGCCCAGTCAGAGAAAAGACAGCTCAGTGTATGTATAACAAAAAGCAGCTCCCCAGGTGCGGAAGGGCCGGTCAAATCTTGTTGGGTAAGCTCCTTTGCTGAAACGCTGCCAGATAGATACCTGTTTTTTGTAAAAGACAGAGTACACCTGGATCATTCATCACATTGGTCTGCACGGTTTTATAGAGAAGTAACTTACCAAAATGTCCAATTAAATAATGTGAAGCTTGTGACACAAAGTGACAAAAGACAGGAAATATGTAGTTCAACTTAACGCTCCAAGCCCAACTGGTGTGGGTCCCCTGATGTCTTGTATTAGGCTGTACGTCCATAACTCACCATGTTGTGAGCATGAAAAGGCACAGTGACATAAATTACATACTAGATGAAAGACAGCTTTAAATCTGAATTTCCTGGCTTTTCTATGTTCATTTCAGAAATAAATGAACTTACCAAATAAAAGCCTTATGAAAGGTGAGTCTGGTGGATTAGGAAAAGAGACTTAGGCAGGGATTGAGGGGAGGAGAAGACACTCACAAGCTAGGGAACAATACAGAAACAATAGAAGAGAGGGTGAGAAGAGGAACATAGGAGAAAAAAGAGCAAAGGAGTGAGGAAGAAAAGGCATAAGATGTGTAGAGAGAGAATAATGAGAGAGAGGCTGCCCTTCTGAAGCCTAGAGATACATGTGCTTTTTCAAGTCACTAATTTTTTTTCCTGTACAAAGGTTAGAGGTGCATCTTTGAACAGTGGTTTAAAACAACTAAAAGTAAGAAATGAGAATTAAGGTTGAAACTGTGATTGGTGCCTTGAACCTTGTTTAGCTATTTGCACCTGTGCAAAGCAGATGTCAAATGCTTCCACTGGGGGAAACGAGTGGAGAATTCTGATTGGGAGTGTTTTACATTGACTTGACGCAAGAGGATCCGATCCAGCAAAACACTTAAGCACAGGTTTAACTTCAAGCGCATGAATAGTTCCTTTGACTGCCAGGGGACTACTCACATGGTTAAAGTTAAACACGTGCTTAAGTGCTTTGCTGATCAGAGCCTAAGTAATTAAAGTGCAAGGCAGTAGAGAATAAGCAAGTCCATCTTTATAATCCTCCAATTACAAGACCCTGTAGAAGCATTAAGTATAAATGATGTTATTTATACACACACACACACATCCCACTTCTTCTTAGGTACTTCCTAGGGAATTTGTTTAAGGATAATAGAATACTGGGTGATCATACATGACCATACAGGTCACAAGGCATCTCGATTTTTGTTTTGTCTCCTAATTTTCTTATTTCATCCCAAGGCAGTAGAGCAGATATGCTATGGATTACTGGAAATACTACAGCAGAAAAGCATTTTGTGATGGTGTTTGGGGCTATTTTGCATTTTTATTTTCCTGTTATTGAATTTCAGCAAGGCAATACAATTTCTCCAATAGAAGAATAGCAACTAAAGACACACAATAGGCATAAATAAGTATAAATCTGTATGTGGTAGCTGGACGTTCTATTTTTTTTAGTAGTTCTCATCTTGCTATGTTTCATATATATGTATAAAAACATTAAAAGTACATTAAAGATGCAAACACTTAAAGTGAGGAAATGACAACATTAAATTGTGGTCAGATTTGCAGAAATGCTTCGGGTTGGCCTTGCTCTGCTCCCATTGAAGTCAATAGGTGTTTGCTGAGTGCTTTTGAAATTCCTCTCTAGAATTTTTTTTAGAGAGATCTGTGTGTCATCATCCCATCCCCTTTTGCCACCCACTTTGTAACAAAAGTAGACAAAGAGCCAGGTCATTATCTTGTGCACCACAGGGCAGGATTTTGCCCTACAAATCTGCCCACACATCAACTTTTAATTCTTATGTTAGTTGGCCACCTTTTTTTTTTTTTCCACCCACTTAAATTTCCTTCCAAAAATCCTGATGAGTCATTGGGCATGCAGTCTATCCCAATGTGAGCACCTCACCTATGTACCTGCAGAAAAATGGCCTTTTAGAAAACCCACTAAAGGGAAGATTTGTAAGTACTGTACTTTCTAAATGAGGTGGAGAGAACTCTTGAAAGAAAAAACCTAGGTCTTTTTCCTTTCAGCAAAGAATAGATTTTTTTCCCCTTAAGACTGTCATAATCTCTTCACCCAGTGATTTTGCCTTTCAGTTCTTGGCTAAATCCATGAATTATGATGTATCCTGTTCTAGCCATGCCAAAAAATGCCACAATCTCACAGACTGTACTTCTCTTTCTGTGCCACAAAATCAAACCACAGACCTGGTGCAGAGACCCCGAGTAGACTCAGAACATGCATGCGCAATACAGTGTTTCCTTTAGTTCTGTGGTTTTCTTTATGACAGGGACTACAAGATATATAAAGCTCCTTTCTGGCTGCAGGCTTTTTACACATATAATAGCTTTTGACAGAAAGTTACAGCTTGTTAAACCCAAATGATTTTGATTATGCATGTTAGTAACAAGACAAACCAGTTGTACAGAATTCCCTGCCCTGCAAAGTAGTCTATAGAGAAAAAAATTAAGCAGATCATACTGCAATCAAGAATGTTCCTGAACAAATTTAGTCTCATTAAACTAGAGAACAGAAAGTGATAATTTTTAAGAGAAACTGCTGTTGCTCAGTGTTAACCTGTAGAACCTGCTAAACACTTCACTTTAAATGTGTTTTTATACACTAGCCCCATTCCAGTCACAGAGCCACTGATTAAACCTGAAGAAGGTCAGGGATATGTGTTACTTTCTCTCTAGTTCCAGCTATTGTCTGAAAATTCTCTTAAATCTATAAGACTTAAACATGTTGTGACAGTCTGTACTCTTATGTTCACCCTTTTTACAAGACTATAATAAATTTTGTACAAAGTATACCTTATGAGGTACCATTTGAAAGATCACTGAATCATGAAATCTGCTGAATATTTTTGTCCTGGTAAAATGTGTGGCAACGTTGTATGTAATGTTATAAAATTCTGCTGTATAAGAGTTGTTCCAAGTCTAGAGAAACAGCTTCAAACCAGTTTCCCAGAAACAGAAGACTAGCCAGCACCTCAGCCAGATGTCAGCATAATCAAAATGGACTATCACCCGATTAAGTGGTCATTCTGTGGCAGGAAAAAGGGTCTGAGCGAGAAATTTACATGTTGGCAAAGAAATAGCTGGAAGTTCCCATCTCCCAGACCTGCTGTCTCCTGAACAGGGCCGGTGTAACCATTTAGGCAAACTAGGCGGCCGCCTAGGGCGCCTAGTGGTTGGGGGCACCTAAAAGCCCACTCAGGCGAGGAGGTGGAGTGGAGGTGCGTGGGGGTGGGGTGGGGTGGGGTGGGGCACGGGGAGGGCTGCCCACAGTAACGGGGGGGGGCGCGCACAGGGGAACTGCTCCCCGCCCCAGATCACCTCCACTCTGCCTCCTCCGCTGAGCACACAGCCCCCGCTCTAAGTCTTCTCCAATCGGCGCCGCAAGCCTGCGAGGGGAGGAGAATTAGAGCGGCACTGGCATGCTCAGCGGAGGAGGCGGAGCCGAGGTGAGCTGGGGCGGGCTCCCCAGGCGGGGTTAGCTGCCGTGGGGGGGGGCTTCCGTGGGCGGGGTTAGCTTCTGCGGGGAGGGGAGAGTCTCCCCAGGTGGGGTTAGCTGCCGAGGGGGAGTAGCTGCTGCATGGGGGGGGGGTGGGGTGCGCGGGGGCGAGGGGGGGGGGTGGGGT